CATGCATACCCCATTCGCCAAGATGCCCGCAATGTGGACGACCCGGGAGAACAACCGCAGCAACAGGGGATGAGTCGGAAGTGATGATTAGCGGCTCTGCCCTCAGGTTCTTTGCCCAATACCTTGAGCCTCAGTCTTGAGTTCTGAGGAGTTAGCTATCGGGGCGCGCAAACATGGATTAGCGATACTCCCCTCAAATGCGGTCGGTGCCGCCTTGCTCGGCAGCGGAAATCCGCGATTTCCAATGGAAATGGGACCCGTCGCTAATCCACGACCCCTTGATCCATGTTTGCGATCGCCTGAAGCTCGGCGCCCGGGCCCAAATTTCCGCCATCTCTCGGGGCTTGTCGCGGTCCCCCTGGGCTCTCCCCGCGTGACTTTTGGGGCCCAAGCGGGCCCCAAGATTGGCCAAGAGGGCTCCAAGAGGCCGCCCAGGAACACATTGGAAGTAAGCGTTGCAAGCACATTGCAAGCAAGGGTGGTGAAGGTGACCACGTGTAGCCACTATTTACATACATTGTACGTGATGCCCGGTGCCTTGGCATTCTACTTACCTAACAGCGAAGACTGATAGGTTTCTAGTGGTGTCAAAAGAGAGCATCTGATGACTCAGAAGGGAGGTCTGGGCGGCATCCGGACAGCGAGGGCCGGGTTCAGGGCCGGGCTCGTTTTAAGCAAACAGTCGCACACTTGTTCTCTTCGACCTCCCAGAACTCCACGCCCGGGCCACATTTTAGATGCCCGGAGCCAACTGTAAGCCACTTCGTGCTCTACGACGTGCTCTACGACTTCCCAGAACTCCATTCCCAGGCCACATTTTGGATGCTCGGAGCCAACTGTAAGCCACTTCGTGCTCTTCGACTTCCCAGAATTCCTTTCCCGGGCCACATTTTGGATGCTCGGGGCCAACTGTGGGCCACTTCGTGCTCTTCGACTTCCCAGATCTCCACTCCCGGGCGACATTTTGGATGCCCGGAGCCAACTGTAAGCCACTTCGTGCTCTTCGACTTCCCAGAACTCCATTCCCGGGCCACATTTTGGATGCCCGGAGCCAACTGTGTAGGCCACTTCGTGCTCTTGGACTTCCCAGAACTTTATTCCCGGGCCACATTTTGAATGCCCGGAGCCAACTGTAGGCCACTTTGTGCTCTTCCATTTCCGAGAACTCCATTCCCGGGCCACATTTTGAATGCCCGGATCAGGTGGCCTGGGAGTGATCTCTGGTAAACAATATGTGGTGCTTCTCAGCCTGCATTCATGTGACACGCAATGCCGCGGCATGCACTCGCGTAGTGCTTCTCAGCCTGCACTCGCGCGGTGCTTCTCAGCCTGCGCCTCCTCGGTACTTGCCAGCCGCCGGATTGGCGCGATTGCCTGCAATACAAGCGGGGGAGGTGAAGTATCCGAGCCCGCGTGTCCACGGTGCTTCGCGGCGTGCGTACTTGTAATCCTAGTTCCAACAGTAGTAGGACTGCGCGGCCGCGGTGCTCCTCAGCCTCCGAGTTTCCGCGGTGCTTCTCAGCCTGCAAGTTTTGCCGACTGTCCGCTCCACACGCCGCTCCTCAGTGCGCTCCTCTTCCGTTTGCGAGATGTCTTCCAAGATTTGGTTGGAGGCCGAGAAAGACGGACGGAACAAATCCAAGTAGCGCGGTCATCATCCCATCCTCCTCCTCAATCATCACATCATCATCATCATCATCATCATCATCATCATCATCATCATCATCAATGGCTTCGCCGAGCACCCCGGTGGAGACTCAGGTCTTACGGGTCCGTGCCCATACTACTACTACTACTACTACTACTACTACTACTACTACTACTACTACTACTACTACTACTACTACTACTACTACTACTACTACTACTACTACTACTACTACTACTACTACTACTACTACTACTACTACTACTACTACTACTACTACTACTACTACTACTACTACTACTACTACTACTACTACTACTACTACTACTACTACTACTACTACTACTACTACTACTACGACTACTACTACTACTACTACTACTACTACTACTACTACTACTACGACATCACACTAAATCCATTCATGGGAGTGCCTGTTTTGGAGCTACATTCATTGATGCAAGTGTGTCGTTTGAGGCTCAACCCGTTGATAGCAGTGTCTCGTTTGGAATCACATCCGTTGATAGCAGTGTCTTGTTTAGACCTCAATGCATTTATACAAAGATCTCATGTGGAGAAATCGAAAGCAGTGCTTCTACTCTACTACCACTGCTCCCATCACTCCTACTCGTTCACTCCACACACTACAACTACTACTTCACTGTTACCACTACTACCATCACTACTACTTTCTACTGCTACTACTACTGTTACTATTACTGCTGCTGCTGCTGTTGCTGCTGCTAGTGTAGCTATTGCTACTGCAACTACTGGCAGTGCCACTGCGACTGCCGCTGATGTTGCCACTGCGACTGCCACTGCGAATCCGAATGCGACTGCGAGAACACCAGAATTCTACAACAGCGCTCTTACATGAATACCACAGGCAATGTTTCCAGCTATGCTTCTACACATCGCTGTTAGGTTGCTTTGCCGGGATAATTCTTTTTCTGTTTTCGCCCACGCGCTTGGCAGCACACCTGCCCAAGAGGTCCCCAAGACACCCCAAGAGGGCTCCATGAACCGCCCCCCCCCCCAAAGGAGCGCCTTGATAGGTGCACCACATAGGCTGCGTCTTATAGATTGAACAACACAGAATGCACAAACTAGACTGCACCACATAGATTGCACAATCCATTGTGCTACACAAATATTGCACCACATCGGTTGCACCTCAGATATTGCACACCGTATACATTGCAGCGCACATTTTGTTAGAAACGCACTGTTAGGGGTCCAAGCTGGCTAACATAAAACAAATGTATCGTTCTTTGGCTTGGAAGCTGCTGCGTCGTTGATGCATCCAGGGTGCCCTCTGGACCTCGTCCCCCCCCCCCCCCTGCAGAGCGAACTCCCTCCCGGCTCCCGAGCACTGAATGGCGTCGGGAGTGGCTTAGCGCAGCGTAGCGTAGCTCCGAGAGGTTGCCCAGGCATGATGGCGGGGTTGGCCGAAAGCCTTTGGATACAGTGTGATGCAGCATGAGAGCCCGGCGCGGCCTCGTCGGGAGCTTACCCCGCCGAGGGGGGCTACCCAGACCCCCGACATCATGATCTACTCATGACGTGGACCCCCCAACGGTCTCGACCCATTCACCCCTGGACCAGTTCTTCCTCCCGCGTCGTACTTTTGCGGCCCCGAGGGCCAGTGAGGGCCCCCAGGTGGCCTAAGACAGCGAGCAACTTCCCGTCCTCGGCCGGCGCCACAAAAGGACCGGCCGGCGGCGCGGAGGCACGCCGCAGCGCCCAGGGCCAGGGCGCAGGCCGCCAGCCGGCGTCGTCGGCGTCGTCGTCGGCGTCGTCGCCGTCGGCGTTCTCGGCGCGCGGCGGCCCGCTCGAGGCGGCCGGTCAGTCCTGTGGCAGTGCTCGGGGCGGCCGCCGCACCGCAGGCGAGCGGCTGCTGGAGACCGCGCGTCTGTGGGTGTGGGCATGGCTGTGCGTCCAGGGACGGCATGCGCGTTCGGCGTCGGCGTCGCGGAGGAGGCGGGGGGGGCGACGGCCGGGGAGCAGGAGGGTCTTGCCCCCCCTCCAGGGGGGGGCCGCAGGTCTGGGCGGCCTCCTGGGACCCAGCGCGCAGAGAACGGCTGGAGCCCCAGACCCCGCCCTTCTGCGGCATCCTCCGGCCCGGGTCGACCTGCCATGGCCCCGGGGCCCGAAACAGGGCAAAGCCGCCCTGTGTGGCGCCCCCCCGGCCCAGACCCCCGACGTCATGACTTTTTCCATGGTGGCGCCCCCCCGGCCCAGACCCCCGACGTCATGATTTTTTCCATGACGTGGACCCCCAGCGGTCTGGGCCCATTCCCGGAGGAGGAGGAGGAGGAGGAGGAGGAGGAGGAGGAGGAGAGGAGGAGGAGGAGGAGGGGGAGGGGGGAGGAGGAGGAGGGGAGGAGGAGAGGAGGAGGAGGAGGAGGGGATGAGGAGGAGGAGGAGGAGGAGGAGGAGGAAGGGCAGGGCCAGGGGCAGGGGCAGGGGGAGGGGGAGGGGGAGGGGGGGGAGCGGGAGGGGGACAAGCTAGGTGCGCTCGCGTCATATCTGAAATCCTACCCCTCCCTCCTATCCCTTACCATGGCGCAGATCCCCTCTCTACTCGCACAGTCGGATGTCGAGCAGGGCAATGATCCCGAAAGGGTATAGGGTGCATTGTAGAGCACGGCATGGCATGGCGTAGAAGAGCACCGCAAAGCGTAGTATCAACCTAGCATTACATTGCATGCCGTGGCATGGCACGGGAAATGACGCCAGCGCTGTAGCGGGAGCACGAGTCGAAACTAGCGGAAGCGCGGAAATGAGGCCAGCGCTGCAACGGGAGCACGATTCGGAACGAGCGGAAGCACGGAAATGAGGCCAGCGCTGCAGCGGGAGAACGATTCGGAACGAGCGGGGCCCGAAAATGAGGCCGGCGCCTCAGCGAGAGCAGCATTTTGAAAAAACATGCAGGCGAAAACCCAACTCCGGGGAAACCTGTGTAAAAAACAGTACGCGGGGGGGAGGTCGGACACTCCCAGGCCGTCATCAGGGGAAGAGGGAGAGTAGTATTCATATTGAGTAATTGTGGAGGAGGAGGAGGAGGAGGAGGAGGAGGAGGAGGAGGAGGAGGAGGAGAGGAGGAGGAGGAGGAGGAGGAGGAGGAGGAGGGGGGAGGGGGGAGGAGGAGGCGACGCGAGCCCGCTTTTCACTCCGGGTACTTTTTGGTGAGGGCCCCCCAGAGGCCGAAAACAGCGACAACTTCCTCGCCGTGTTTTTTTCGTGGCTCGAGGGCCCGCCCCGCCGCCGCCGCGAGGGGCTCCTGCGGCGCCGCCGGCCCGCCGCCGCGGGCTGCCAGGGGGCGGCGCGCCGCTGACGCCCGCGCCCGCGCTCACCACGGGCGCGGCCCACGGCCTGCGTCGCCGACGGCCCGCCGCCGCGGGCCGTCGGGCGGGGCACCGCGCGCTCCGCCGACGCCCCGCCGCAGCGGGGCCTCGTGGGCGGCGCGCGGCGCGCCGCTCAAGGGATCCACAGGTGCCGTGTGCTCGCCAAGAGCCCGTGTGTCGAGGCGGCTGGAGCACGAGGCCCCCCCCTCCGCGGGCGGCGCGCCCTGCTCCTGCGCCCTGCCGCGCGTCCCGGCGCCTGCGCGCCCTGTAGCGGGAGGGCCCAGGGGGGGGGGGCCGCAGGGGTGTCGGCGGCGAGCGAGGGGGGGGGGGAAGTGAGAAGGAGAAGGCCTCCTCGGAAGGCGGCGGGGCTTCTCAGAAGGCCTCGGGCCTTCGGAGAGGTCTTCTGTGTCTTCGGGGCAGGCTCAGAAAATGTCTCGGCAGGCCGGGACCCTTCCCAGCCTTCCGAGGAGGCCCGCCCCTTCTCAGTGCCCACCCCCTGGCTCCCCGCCGACGTGTGCCCAGGCCGAGACGACGCGCCCGCCGGGCGCGGGGGCGGCGCGGCCGGTCCTCGGCGTCCTTCTTCGCCCGCTCCCGCTGCAGCTCCTTCGCGGCTCGCGAGGGGCCACCCTGGCGCTGGCCGCCTCGGCGCGCCGCGCAGAGCAGAGAGCAGCAGCAACCCGCCACGAGCCTGTCGCACCTCCGCCGGCTCCTCTCCTCCCACCCCCACTGGTGCACGACCCCCGGCGCACAACTAGTCCGGAGGAGTGCTCCTCTCGGCTCCCCATGTGCCCTCGGCCCCGTTCCCTTCCCCGTCCACCTCTCCGCCCATACCAGCTCCTCCGCCTCCTCCCCCGCCGCACCTCCCCCGCCGCACCTCCCCCGCCTCCAACTCCGCCTCCTCCCCCGCCTCCTCCCCTGGTGCACCTCCCACGCTGCACCTCCCCCTCTCCCGGCTGCCGCACCTCCGCCGCCTCCTCTCTCCTACCCCCCCTGGTGCACAACTAGTCCGGAGGAGTGCTGCTCTCCTCTCTCTCTCTCTCACTCTCTCTCCCCGGTGATCAGGCCCAGCGGTGCCGCTGCCCCCTTTTTTGTGTTCTCTCTCCCTCTTTTTTCCTCTCTCTCTATATATATATATGTCTCTCTTTGTTATCTCTCTATATCGATAGATCACCTCATAGATCCTTTTTGTCTCTCCCTCTCTCTAACCCGGTGTGACTATATACATGTCTATACATATATGTATATAACACATTCCCTTGGCATATGCCATGTCATGCTATTCCCTATGGTCGGTATATGTATGTACGTATGTGACATAGCTATATGCTTCCTCGTCGCTCTTCTCATTTATGTAAGATCACTTCTCTTTGTGATTGTCTTCCATCTCTCGTCTCTACATTACTTATGTATTTCTCTCTCTCTGGCCTCTTCGGGTCACCTCTAGACATCTCTCGTGTAGTGCCCTCTCTCTCTCTCTGTCTGTGTTTTCTCTGTTCTCTCTAGAATACGTGCTCTCTCTATCTCTCTCTCTCCTCTCTCTCTCTCTCTCCTCCTTGCCCCATCTGTCATATATATACACATACGTATATATGTATATATATATATATAGATATCACTATGTGTGTATGTGTGTGCGTGTGTTCTCTCTCTCTCTCTCTTCCCTCCTCGTCCTCTATATCTATGTGCCCCCCTCTACTTTCGATGTATGTTTTCATAGTTACGCACACACGCACACACACACACTCTCTCTCTTATGGACTGCATTACAGGTTGGTCTACTACGTGTAAAATTCCATCTGAAATATCTCGCTCGTTCATACACTGTACTCCCGCTGCAGTGTTGGCCATATGTCAACATCGGCGCTGTTCTCCTTTCGTTCCGAACGACGCCCTCGTTCCATAGTTCTTGACCCGATTCCTTCATCGCCGCTGCCACCCCCCTGTCCCCTCCTCCGCCTTCCCCTGCTCCTCCTGCTCCTCCTGCCTTTCCTGCTCCTGCTCCTGCTGCTGATGATCCTCCATCTCGTCCTCCTCCTTCTCTTCGTCCTCCTCCTCCTGCTCGTCCTCCTGTTCATCCGCCAATTCCTCCTCCTCACCCTCTAATGTTCGACGCCCCCCCCCCCCCCTTCTGTCTGCGCGTCACACAATGGGGTCATTTGGGAGTTAACACCCCCGTCGGCGGATGCACAACAACAACAACAACCTTCGCTCGCTATGCCATCTGCCGCCGCAACCGCTGTGCTTGCGCCTCGCAGCGTGATCCCAACGCCGCTGATGCTAGCTTTCTCCCTGCAACGAGGGGCCATACATGACGCTCTGTGGAGACTTCCCGGGCTCGGCACCAAGCAACGCCGTTACATCATATCCTCTCGGAGCTATCCTCGTCCATCTGCTCCCCCGCCCACTTCTCCGACTTCTGCTCTTCGGTTGCCCTGGACCTCAATGCCAAATTGCTCGTCTCGTTCGCTTGCGTTGTTCGAGTGTGCGCGCACTCGCTCCAGCGAGATGTCGCCCGACAGACCCTGCGCGTTTGCCCGAAACGTGCGGTTGGCCTTGGCCTGTAGAAAAGGAAGACGGCGCAAGCATGCAACTGCCATCCTGAGATCTGGCTTCGAAGTCTACACTCGACCCGGTGGATAGGAACGGTTGAAAGTAATGGGGAAGTATGTGCGGGTGGGATATCGCAGGATTTCAGACTTGATGCGGCCGAGTCTAGCTGAAGACTCCATCCCTTTTCCACCATCCCCACTCGCCAACTCTTCCCTCCTCCGTTCTCCCCCTCCGTTCGCGCCCCTCCTCTAGCATACGCCACGCACCGCCAATTGTTCTGGTCGTCTGGGAGGGATGCCCACCACCGTGCCGCACTGAGTGCAGTGCCCCCGAGTCTCCTAGGATGCTTAGTTTTCGTCATAGAAAAACACCACTTGCAAAATCCAATGACTCCCCGAGCTCCAAGAATCCCACAAACTCTCTGGGTTTAGCGGTTGAAATCGCTTCCGCTGCCAACCCTCTTCTTCCCCTTCTGGGAGGGGTTCTCCATTCCCACCACCCCGCACCTAAGACTTCCCCCCCCAGCTTGGGGGAGGGGGCCTCTTGGGGGGCCCAATATTATATATGTGGGCCTTGCCCATAAGGAGAAACATCAACAATACGACAAGGTCAACGCACAAAAGCGCAGATCGGGGACACTAGGACGTCGCCGCGTGCTAGGCACACTCGCGGAGGCCGCTCGTCGGGTGCACAACCCGCGGCCGCTCGCTGGAAACGCATCGGTGCCAGAAAAGAAGCACATGGGGGCTGCATTTCGGACAAACATGGCCACGTGTGTTTCCAACTCATGGGCCAGTCATGCGCACCCGGCTTCCAGGTCTGATAACAGGGACTCGCCACTCCAAAACCTCCCAAGGCAAGCTTCTGTGCTAAGCCCGCGGGCCCCAGACTCCTGCGGCCACCCCTACTTTGAACCCTCTGCCAAAGCAATTGGATTATCACCCTTCCGGCCTTCCCTGGACCCTACATTTGTGGCTGGCCCGTGTGGCGATCAGCACTCCAACGGCGCTCGCCAGTGCGTGGGACACCTGCGCACCTGCATGCACCCATGGAGCAGGATCTTGATACTCGTAGGTATGTGCTGCAACATGAATGGTAGTAAGCGTCCTACACTTCTCCGTCGTCCTCCTGGTCCTGCTCTTCCTCCTCATTACCCTCATTATCGTTATCTTTTCTGCCATCTATGCCCCCTCTCGTTTTCCGAATGTCCCTCTTGTAGGCATGATCATTTTTCTTTGGGGGGGGGATAGCTTGAGATTTGCGACTCATCTCGTCGACCAATCAAGAGGTACGTGTAATGCGTGTCATGAGGTATGGGGATGCCGCTCGGATCTACGATTCGAAGTTCTGCTGTTCAACATCTTCTCGCTGGGGAAACTGTATATATCTATACTCTCACCATGCTCCACCAACCTCTTTTTCTGCACCCTGGTCAAACCTGGGCCAACAAATCGCGCTGCTGATTTGAATTGAAACGTCGGTCCCGCCTTTGTCGTTGCCAGCGGGTGCTCCTGCGTCTTCCTCATCGTCCTGTGCTGGGGGTGTCGAGGGGCGGCACATGGAGACGCGGCTTGCAGATGGTAAATGCACCAATGTGTAGATAGGCTGAACCATTACACCTGCATGGAGGCTCTAAGCACCCACGCTGCAGGATACGGCACGTGGTCAACATGGCGAACCAACGTTTCCGCAAAACCAAGCACGGCACGGCACCTGGGCACACGGGCAAAACACACCGACTCTGCCGCACGCCCGGAATCGAGCACAACCAGCACGGCACGCGGGCTCTGCCGAGCAACTTGTTCACACTCTCAAAACCAAGCACGGCACGGCACCCGGGCACGGCACGGCAACACAACCTTCTCCGACTCTCGAAACCAGGCGGGGTACGGTAAGGCACGGCACGGCATGCGAGCACGGCACGGCACACGGACGGCAACCGTAGCGCATTCCAAAAACCCAGGCACGGCACAGCACGGCACACGAGCACGGCACAGCACGGCACACGCGGGCAGCACCGTTTGTTGCCTCTTCGAGCCAAAACACGGCACGGCACGGCACACGGGGATGCCACACCACGGCGCCCACGGCACGCGATGACGCTTTTGTTTGCCGTCCAGGGAGGCTAAGCGCGGCACGGCATGGCACGCGGGCGCGACACGTCACGCCACGCGGGCGGCGCCTTCCTCGCACTCCAGAGATCAAGCGCGGCACGGTACGGCGCGCGGGTAACACCTTTGCTGCCTTCCCAGACCAAAGCACGGCACGCCACGGCGCGGCACGCGAGCATGCCACACCACAGCGCCCAAACACGGCACGGCACGGCACGCGGGTGGCGCCTTTGTGTTGAATTCTGGAGACTAAGCACGGCACGGCATGGCACGCGGGTGCGGCACGCCACGCCGCGCGAGCGGCACCTTCCTCGCATTACAGAAACCAGGCGCGGCACGCTAAGGCACGCGGGCGGCACCCTCCTTGCATTCCAGACGTCCGCCGAGACTCTTGTCCGCGACGCCGTGAAAGCTGGGATGTTGTCACCGTGTGGCCCGCTGTAGGACATCTGCCTCCATCCAAAAGAAGGCGCCTCCCTGGACGCCCGAAATTAATATAAGACAAATGAACACAATGCCCTACGACAAATGCCGCCCAAAAACCGACAGCGGCCGCTGTCAAGCTTTCGGCTGTCTGTATCACGTGGACAACGCCCGCGTGGACACCGACAGAGCATCCTGTTCAAAATGAATAGAGAATGCAGCCGACCTTCGTACCTATCATTTCCGTGCCCATCTCGCTCGTGCCGAACAAAGGAGGAAGAAAACGAGGAGGAAGAGGAGGTTCGCTGGGAAGGATTCGCATCGATGCCGCCCTCGCGGCACAGCCCGCACCCTCACCCACCATCACCGTGAAAGTCGAAACAAACACAGCAACCATGGGCGCAGGGAGGGGTGTCAATTATCAAACGCATCTCTCCCCAAATCTGGAGGTCGTGGAATCGGCTCACCTCTCACTAAGGGGAGCTGACCGTCAGTTGGCTGGGATCCCTCAAGGCGACCCAGATCCGCGCCTCCAAAGAGCCACTCTACCGCCTCTTCCTCTGGGTCGAAGGGCTCCAACAGGGGTCCACCGCCGCCCTCACGCAGCGGATATAACTCGTGAGTGGTCCTAGTTCGGTTTTCCGCTCCTTCGCGAGACTTTCCCAAGCAGCGGGCCTCAAGGTGACGGAAATATTATGTCGCATACTTGCCACAATCATGTCAGAATAACATGACATACTTCGGCCACTGTCCAAGCTTATGTGAGGGACGCAACACCCTCCCGCCCAAACCCTTCCACCACCCACCTCCCGCAGCTCTGGGGGCACTGTTCAGGATGGGTGGGGGTGGGGCTGGCGGGGCCGGCGGTGGGGTGCACGGAATGCGGCAGAAATACAGGAAGGCAGAGGCATGTACACGCTGACTGCAGACTTCACATCGCCACTTCGTTCCGTCCTGGACCATTTGGTGGTCCGAGTCCCTGAGAACTACCCTCGCGCCTCCGCCACTGGACACCCGAAGCGCGGTCTCTTCACGCACAGCACGGGACGAGTCGGTATCAAGGGCAAATTCAAGGGCCTTGGAGGCTTTGCGCCTTACGACTGCCGCTGCTGCATCCAAACTGTTAGCGTCAGGCGCTTCATGCAGGACGAATCCCTCCTGGGCCCGATCAGCCGCCTCCCCCGCCCCATGGTCAGCCGTCGCATTGCCCACGGCGAGGAAGATGTCCCTATCACTGGCCAAACGGCCCAGTCCTCCTTTTCAGCGTGTGAAGGGACCCACTCCAGGGAAACCTCCCTACCATCTGCCGCAACCCGAATTCTAGCCCAGAGGTCCTCATTGGGCCCTCTGGTGGCCCTACTCCTTCTCCTGGGCCGGGCTTTTCAAAGACCCTGATGGTCAGTGACGAAGTGCATCGAGCGTGTGGTCTGCTTAAGGCAATCGCAAGTGCCAGAGTCTCCGATCGGGGCGCCGAGTGTCGGAGGACAGGGAGCGGGGCAGCCATCATCGCGCCCAAGCACCAGCCATCTTCACGCCAAGCCAGGGCAGCGACTGCAGCTCCACACCTACGGTGACGCTGATCGTCCGAGTACTTCCTTCCGGCGCCGCCCCCAAACAGAGTCAGAACCCCATCCCTCCGAGCGTCGCCCAACTCACCTGCCCCGAAAAACAAGGCATCCTGGGCCATTCGCTCTTCATCGAACCTGGGCGTGGTGAAGTGAGTTGGCACAATACCCTTCGGCCGGACCGAGAGCTCACACCCTGCGCAGGCCGGCGCCCGCGCCACCATTGGCTCCGACTTGGCGAACTCGCTGCCCTCGCTGACGTTCGCCGTGCACTGCGAGATCCTGTGCGTCAGCGTCTCCGGCTCCAGTCTGCAGCGTGGGCAGACCGCGCTGACGGCGCAGCCGCGCCTTCACTTCCTGGCACGGCTCCACTGCCCGCCGCTGATCACTGCCATCGCGCGGCTCCACACTGCCCACATGCCTCTGCGAGCAAATCGGTCGAGCTCGCGTCTCACGTGCAGCATGTCCGCGCCAGTCTCCAAGTTGCTGCCGCCCTCATGGGCCGCAGCCTGATTCCACAGCTGACGACTGATATCCTCGCGGAGGTCGTGAAACTCCCGTAAGCCTTCACACTCAGTCGGCTCCAACCAAGTTCAAGTGCCACTCCGTGTCGTACCGTCCATCCCAGGTCTGCTCCGCGTGCTGGCCGCGCGCGCATCCCAGCCCACGTCCATGAGCGTGGCCATGAGCGCTCAGACAGGGCCCGCACGCGGCGCCAGCGCCGACCAGCGCCGCCTGTCAGGAGCGGGAGGCGGATTGCAGGCCAGACTCTCTTGATCCTTGCATGGGCCTCAGGCCCCGATTCCCGCAGCTCCAGCCACGAGTCCACCAGCTGCAGACGCAGCTTGACGGCTGGACCCTGCTGGAGCCCTGCCGCCAAGACCGCGGTGAGGCAGCGGCCTCTAAGCTGGCCTCCAACTGCTGAACCTGCCTGCTGCCGCAGCTTCCCGACGCTCGTCGGCGCCAGGCCCTGGAGCTCGTGGGCGTAAGTGGCCTGAGGGGAAGCCCCCGTGCTCGGGGGCCCCTTCGCCTCCTTGGCGAGAGCCGCGCTACGCCTCATCCTCGTGATGCGACCGGCGCCCCTGCTTGCAGCCAACATCCTCTTGCGCTGCTTCTTGCAACATCGCCGCCTGCCAGCCGTTGCGTCGCCGCCCAGGTCAGTGGCATCCAGCGCCAGCTGCAGCGGCAGGGCAGGCGAGGCCAGCTCCGCCTGCAGCGCCTGTCCCAGCCGCGTGTCCGATGCCAGTAGCATGGTCTTGTGGGAGATGATCAGGCCCCGCTCCTCAACGAAACCTCCACGAACTGGGCTGCCACCTGCTTCATTTCTTGCTTGACCATCTGCCTGGGACCTTCACAGCGCGCCGTCGTGTTGTCCACGAAAATCCGGAGGGACGCCTGAGGGGCCACCTGGTGGGCCTTGTCCAGCACCCCGTGAATGAACACCTTGGCCAGGGATAGTCCCCTCGCCGACCCCGCCACCACCGAGCGCGTCGGCCAGACCATGTCACTGATGCCGTGGCGCTGACCCTTCAGGATGCGAGGACTCAGGAAGATCTCCACCTCCATGGCCACCACGATGGTTGGGTACTTCACCTGCACCGCCAGCTCTATGAGCAGCGCCAGGCTGATCATGTCGTGGAAGGTCTGGAGGTCGAGGAGGAGGGTGGCCGACGCCAGCTGCATATCGCCATATCCCTGCCCAAGTCGTCGAACAGCGCGCGGTCCAGCGCAGCCTTGAGCGCAGAGCGCCCCCGCAGGGCGCCGTCCCAGAAAACCCCGAGCTCCTCGACCAACTGTCCACGATGCGACCTCGCGCTTTACTCCAGATCTTGGGCAATAAGGCTATGATGCCCAGCACCCTGTTTCCTCCTGCGGGCTTGGGCACAGAAGCCGGCACTACCGCCATGCATTGGCGAGGCCAGACGCCATGCTGCTCCGCGCCGTTCATCAGTTGCCCCAGCTCCTCGCGCGCCACCTGTGTGAGCCTCTGCACCTCCGTCGAGCTCATCACGTCCACGCCCATTGCCTTCCTGCCGTTGATGGCGTTCAGCGCCCTGTCGAACTCCTCCTCCGTGGGCGGGTAGTCTCTCTCGTGAGCTACCTCCAAGATCTTCTGCAGCCGTGCCTGGAGGAGGGAACGGAGGAGGAGGAGGAGGAGGAGGAGGGAAAGGAGGAGGAGGAGGAGGATGGAACAGGAGGTGGAGGAGGAGAAGGAGGAGGAGGATGAGGAGGAGAAGCATCAGCAGCAGCGACAGCAGGATGAGGAGGAGAAGAAGGAGGAGGAGGAGGAGGAGGAAGGAGGAAGAGGAGGAGGAGGGGGAGCAGGGTAAGAGGAGAGGAGGAGGGAGGAGGAGGAGGAGGAGGAGGAGGAGAGAGGAGGGGTAGGTAGGAGTAGGGGTAGACTCCTCCTCCTCCTTGCCCTCCTCCTCCT